GAATTGGATATGATCATCAATAATAATAACGGTAGTACCCACATTCCAAAATACCAAATCTTATTCGACTCATTCTGAACCCCGGTGTCGAAATGTAAATAACGACGAACAAAATCAAGCATTCTATCCAAAACATAGGCTCCAGAATAACTAAAATATAAACATGATGAAGTTGAATAAGTTTTCTCAGGCTCCTGCGAGTAGCTACATCTCCCACATTCCATATGATGACACTCATCTGAATGTACATGAATTATCCTGCGACCGACTTCTGGTCATCATCTTGGGTACATGTTTGGCCACCATTAAATTAAAATTAGTTTTTTTCTCTCTTCTTATCACGTATTCTCCAATAAAATAATATTATACGTAAATTCAAAATTTTTTCTTTTTTTAATCATACATTTTTTAAAAAATCACTTCCTAAAAACATTATTTCAAAATNTCCAATAAAATAATATTATACGTTAATAAAAAAAATCTGTTTTAACCACACATTCTCCAAAAATTTATTATTCCTCTCATTATAATCTAAAATAATGTAGCCCAAACAGGGGCTAAGAAATAAAATTTAAAACTTCAAGAATAGATATTATTAAATTTTATTTACGAAATAAATAATTAAATATATATTTTATTAATTAAATATATTAAGATCACAATTCTATATAACTTAATCACAAATTCTCGAAATAATTGATTATAGTTTTTTTGATCAAAATTCAAAAAATTAATAGGTCACAAATTATTTATCGATCACAAATCAAAATTTTTTTGTAGATCAAAATTTATTCATCGGTCAAATTATAAATTTTATAAGTCATAACTTATTTAACTATCACAAATTATCAAATTAATTGATCACAAGTTATTTATCGATCACAACTTAATAAATTGCGAGTCACAATTATAATTTTTAGGTCACATATTATATATTGATTACAAATTACACAATTTATTGGTTACAATCAACCAATTTATTGGTCACAAACACTCTTGATCCCACTCGATCGTCGATGTCACCACCAACACAACTGTGTCACCGTCACTGCCTGCACCACAACTATTTACGACCACCACCTCACCATCGCCAACACTGCCAAATCCAACACTACACAGCGCCAAAGTCTACCGCACCACCATCAAATCCACTTGCAACACAACCAATAAAAAAATACCCCAAAAACCAACAAAATCTCACTACCTCCGCCAATGCCCACATAAACCATTGCCTCCAGTGTCAGCATCACCGTCAATACCTCACCATAACAACTAGCAATACGATCAACACTATCTCACCGCCACCACCACATCACCCCAAAGCCACCAAACCATGGAAACCACTACCATATATTCAATAATTAAAAAAAAACCCACTGTGGCGGTCTGCGTCGTTACAGCCACGATCTATGCCATCACTACCGCGATCCATGTCGCTGCATCCACGATCTGCAAAGCCTCCAGTGGCATTCACAGTGAAGGAATGGCTTTACCCGAGAACTACAGAACTTCAGGCGATCTAGGCCGCTACAAGCGTGATTTGCAGCAAGAAATGGCTCACCAATGGTGCACATAGCGAATATGGTAAAAAGATGGTCTCCAATGGCAATGTTCTCCAGCAGCAACAATTAACAAAGAGTGTATAGAGTTGGGAGAGGAAAATGAAAGAGAAAGGATAAAATATAGAGAGAAAAGGGAGATGGAATAATGAAGACAAATTTAGGGTTTGTGAGTGAGGTGGGGTGAATGGGGTATGTTAATTAATTTAATTTTAAAAATTTATTATTAATATTTAAAATTTTAATTATATCTGATTTTTGAAAAAAATAAATTATATCTCTTAATTATTAAATGAGATCTTGAAAACAGTTAGTCCTTGTGATTTCCACTTACAACAATTGGTATGGCTCGTTATTAAGGCCCCCTTTTGGCCCATTATTCTTGTTTAGCCTATATTTGAGTTCCATTTTATCAAAAACTCATTTTCGACTACAAAATCTTTCATAAAATAATTTTACACGTAAACACAATTTTTTTTTCTATTTTTTAATCATAAACTACATAAACTCACTATTCCAAAATCAATTTTTCCCAAAAAATGGGGGCTCAAACAAGGCCTTACTTTTTTTTTTTTCCTTGGAAATGAAGTCCTTGTTTGATTTGGATAAAAAAATCAAATTTTTAGTAAACTTCAAAAATATAATGAAATCTATAGTTAAAAATAAATAAAAGTTGTTGATCCCACAAATGAGTAAGCGAAAATAAGTTTTAAAAAATTGGAACTAAACCGGAATTAAGGAAATGATTTGTCCTTTTCAGGTCATATTGATAAATTATTTATAACTATTAAAGTTGCGTTTTATCTACACATTTTGAGTTTTTTTATTTATAATTCAAAATGGTAAGTTTATTAGTGAATGAAAATTGTATTCCTGTAACCCTAGAAATTATTTCCATTGTATCCATAATCCTTCCTTATAAAATATAAGGATTTGGTTCTCATTATAATACGCACAAATTTATTGGCTTTTATTCTCTCTTTTCTATTTCTCTTTTTTTACAACACGTTATCAGCACGATTGTTTCCAAATCAAAATGAATTAATTAAAAGCCCTGAAGAAGCGACAGGGAGTACCATCTGCTTAAAAACGGTTTATCAAGGATAAGATCCAATGTATCAAAGCTGGTAACACAGATGTAAGCCATAGGGAAGCCTTTAGCGCTGCTGCAAAGAACTGGGCCCACTTTCCTCATTCATTTTGGACTTGTGCCTGATCAACCCGTAAAGAAACCTAATGTGTGCCAACAGATATCTCAAAACCCTAGATGTATTTGGTCAATTTTTTTACTACACTTCAGTACCTGCATGGCGAAAATTTGCTAATTCTTCAATTCTACATGCCGTAATGGTGATATTAAATTAATGATTATTTCATATATGCATTTTTCAATTCTGCACGTCATAAGCTCATATATCCTGTTTGTGAACACACATAAATATTTAGCGTGTAAAACCATAATATTGTGCTAATTTATTATTGTTGTTGAATTCTCTTTGGCTTTTAACTTCACCAATAATTATTTTTATTCTTGTATAAACTTTAAAATGATAGTATATCTAATTGTTGCTCGACAAGAAGCATAACTTTTAAATAATTCATGGCTCCTGAAAAGTTAATGTTTCTAATAATATTTTGTTGGTGCTCCTAAAGTAGAAAATATAGATAAATATTCTAGTTAGATTTTACTTACTCCCGAAGGACATCATTAAATACGATTTAATGTAAATTATATTTTTATTCCTAAAGAGTAAGTCCTTGTTTTATTATAATAATATGTGATTACTCCTAAAGAGCATGAATTACAATTTTCAATATTTCAGAAAAATATTGACATATTGCTCTTGAAGAAGTAATAATAAAATATAACGTGCTTTCGAAATAGCACATGACTCGAAGAATGATAACTCGTTGTGTTCATGGTAGGAGGTAGCTTATGTGCCAACTGTGAACCTGTCGAACCTGTCCACATGTCCTAAAACTATTGTAACAAAAGACATCGCTATTTTTTTCTCCGCGAATAAAGAAACAGAGCGTTTCCCTCGATGATCTTTCTATCTTTTATACATTTTGAGTGCTCCACTAAATTGATTATCGGAGTTTTATTGAGGGATTAGGGATAAAATCCCACCATTTCAGGTATCGGAGCAGCGGCAGTACACCGTCCGTAGAGGAGTTCATCATCTACTATCCTTAATCCCCTCACAATAGCTTCAAAATGAAGCATAGCACGTTTAAACCCACCTTTGCCCTTGGATTTGCAAGGAATCTTAATAGTTTCTCTGCCAGCAAATGCTTCAACAATCATGGATCCTTCACTAGAGTTGCTAGTATCTCCTACATAAAATGCGAGCTCGTAAGTTTTGCCAACAGTGGTTCGTGCCACTTGTGCAATGGTACTTTCCTTTCCACCAACGAGTTCAATTGCTCGTTTGCCTTGTGATACCTATTGAAGATTAAAATATAAATAAATAAATAAACTGTCTTAACTTAAGCTTTTAGACAAAGTAACTCAACATTACCAAGAAATGATCAGAATCGATGTATTTTATAGCTTTGAGAGATTCGACCATCGAAGCTGGTAATGGAGAGTTATCATCCTCAATGTTAGGCGGAATAAGGACTCCCCAACTTGTGTTAGGCTATATATAGACCTTTCTCAATGTCTGGATTTTTCAGTAGGTTTTCTGCATTGCATAATTAGGACTAGCTCTTGTAAAACAACCCCATATTAGAAGAAGATGATCGTGTGATTAGAAATGTCTTTCTAGTCCTAATCCGGCAACAAGCCTTTAAATAATATAATGCAACCGAATAGTGATGGGAAAAGTATGAGGTGTCCCCAATCGACATCAATTAGAGCATATTGGATGGTCATACAAATTTATTTAAGTAGTGTTGATTGCATGTGAATCTAAAGTTCATTTTCAGATATGCATATGGATATTCATGTGTACAAGTAACACCATGTGATGTAGCTCACGATATGAAAAATGAATTAGAAAATCTATTCATAGTGGTCCAAAAGGCCACTCTAGAAATATCGGGGTAAAAGCTCCAAATTCTAGAATTTTGTCTTTGCAGCATGTTTTGGTGCGCAGAAGTAAGTCAAACTTACTTTTTATGTTGCTTTTGTCAACCATGATATCTGAAGTTACTTTTTTACCGATGAAACTTAACTTTTCAGAAAGTAACTTATAAATTTTGAGCACGCTAATCTAATGTCATGCAAAAGTATATAGATCATTGACAAGCGAATTGTTTTGTTTTTGCTATTTATGATCATATCAATCGAATTGATCTTTTCTCATGTTTATTATCTCATATATTGGAGCAATGCTGTGTGTATAAAATTAGTTTACAAAATTGGGTTACAAAATGAGTGTGGCAAGATCTGGACCATTGATTTCGAAAATTATTCTTGAAATCAATGGCTTAGATCTTATCACACTCATTTTGTCAAACAATTTTGTAATTCAATTTTGTACACATAGCACTGCACCATATATTAATACCAACTGTATACGATGTAAACCCTAACCTGAACAATAAGCATTAAATAAATTCAAACTCACACAATACTAAAATTTTAGCAAATCAAATATTAACATTTATTATTTTCACAACCTTCATGACCTGTCAATTTATACCCACATTATTAAAAGGGATAATTGTAGCAACAGTCCCAAACCTTTCACTTTGTTTTTTGTAGACTTTACTTTAACTTTCACTTTGTATCATCCACAGTTTCAAACCTTTCAAAAATTAGTACCTGGGGTGCAAATGGATGATTTATGTTAGTTTAACCGTTAGTTGACCAAACAAATTGACTTTGAAAAGTTTTAAAAAGGGTAAAATAGTAATTTTGAATTAAAATTTAAAAAAAAAACCTAAATAACCCTCCACAACCTCCTTCTAAACCCAATATGGTGACCTCCATTGCCCTTTGGAGAATACAAAGCTTCTGCGGATTGTAGTTTCCAAGTTTATAGACACAAATTTCAGTATTTACTGCTAAAATCTTTCCAAATAACCTCAAAATCCATCAAATGAATCTGTGTTTAAAATCGTAAGAGTATTAACTCATTCCAACTAGTACAGAAGTCGTATGATAAGCAGGTGTGCCGATTACAAGATAATGACATCCACCTAATTAAGTAGAAATAGCAATTTAACATGCCGTAAACTCCTAATCTTACCTAGAAAAAAAAAATATTCACGTATTCTTCCGTTTCACAGAAATAAATTTTCCAAAAGCATATAGCTGGAAAAACTTTTGAGCTTTCCACAATACCTTCTTGAGATGCACAGACCCAAAGAATATTTCTTTTAAGAAATTTGGTCCCTAAATGTCTACTCAAATTGAATAGATGATAATGCCATTTGTTTTGCAGGAATAACAAGAAGAAAAATGCATGAACCATTATGCCTCAATTTTGGGATTTGATTCGTCTTAGCAAATGAATTCGATTGGGGGAGGGGTGTCAAAATCAATTTATTTGGTCAACTAACTGTCAAACTAACAGAAATCATCCATTTGGACCTCAGGTGCTAATTTTTGAAAGGTTTGGGTCAGTGGGTGGCACAAAGTGAAGGTTAAAATAAAGTCTGCAAAAAAAAAATGATAGGCTTGGGACTGCTACTTCAATTATCCCTCATTAAAATCAATACTAAGAGAACTAGAACATAACCATCCCTACAATTTTTAAGATATTTTAAACATTTATCATATTAAAATCAATACTAAATTGAATATAGCAAAGATCGTCTAAGACATATATAAATAAATCTTAAACAAGTGAAAGTATGTAATCTTATTTTGTATTAACGGTAGAAACAATTTCTTAATCAAATAAACCATATTCGAAAGAAAAATTTTCCCAAACATATTCATCCGTTAATGAACAAAGCAACAAGGATATGTGCTTTGATTTAGAAAATATTGATGATTTAATTGAAAAAGAAACTCAAAAAAATATTTCTTCAAAACGATTATATGGACCCAGATATCTTAATGAACTAAGAGAATTTCAGGTTCGAAAATCAAAATACCCTTTTCAAAATGTTTGTATGCCACCAAATAAGCTATTTTTGCTTCCCTTATTAATTAAGAAAAATGGACAAAAAAATAATATCTTTACTAAAATAAAATTGAAAAAAGGAAAAAAAAAATGGAAAAAACTGGTGGATAAATTGTCAAAAATTGATATGTCACTATCAAAAATTGATATAAAAGTTGGTATAACATTATCAAAAGGTGATAAAAGTTAGTACATTGTCAAAAGATAAGGTGCAATTTTCAAGAGAGGTTGGAAGACAAAGACAAGTGGTTGTCTTTTCATATCAAAATGGTTGACTGTTTTTTAAGGTTCCTTCATCAAAATTAAATTGATTTCAAGTCCGTGTATAAGATTTCAAGTATAAAAGAAGACTAAAGATGAAAAATCTCCTCAAGTGTAATAAAGCGGGAGATACACTTCAAGAAAGTTTTAAAATTATCCATGTAATTTTGTTAGCTTTCTTTAAAAATCTTTTCAGTTGTAATTTTCAATTTCAATTTTCATATTGTAATCTCAAAATTATTAAATCAATAAATTCATTATTTCTATCCACCTTTACTTCTCTTGTCCATCTTCCCTAACAAGGCCCCTTTGGTATCAGAGTCATAAGGGAGTAGTGAGAGAGAATAGTATCAAACTATTGTATGCATAGTGTAAACGCCTGGGTTGGTGTAAGGAATGGATGTCTACCGAAGCATTGGTCAGTCGTGTTACCGAAGTAAGCGTTTAGATGGTCCCGTTGTAAGCTTTGCGCTGCATCAATTTGCCTGTAGCATTCTGTTTTCAATAGTAAGATCACTATTTTCTAATTACTATTTAATTATTTCTTTTATGTCAAATTTGTTTAGTAAAGGAAGTGGTTCAAACAGTAGTGGTGATAACATTTCAAATTTTTTCAAGATAATAATGAAGAATTAGATCAAGATTATGCATCTGCATCAAATGATTTTACTTCAACTGAATTTCAAATCGTCCAAATAGAACAAACTTCAAAATTGGACTATTCTAAAGGTAGATAAAAGTTCTATTTATAATATAAAAATTTGATTTTACTCAAAATTATATTATCAAAACACTTGAGCAAACTATTCCAATCAAAAATCACACTGTTTCAATAAATCTTTTTTCAAAAGAAGCTATATTAGCTCACAGGAAGAAATTTAAATATCCTCGTGTTGGACTTGTTCAAATTGCAGTTGAACCTCTTTTTAGACTTGGTCTAGACTTTCCTGTCCTTTTGACCCTAAGAGACAAAATACTCTTATGGTTTGAACATTCATTCCTTTCCATTCTCGAGTCTAATATCGAAAGTGGCCCAACATTTTCAAATTAGTATCCAAAATTTTCATTTAGCCTTCAAGATGGAGCTACTCTTAATGTTCTAAATCTTCAAGTTCAAACAAAAAATTTTGATGTTGATGATCGTTCCAGAGCTTTTGCTTTAATATATCAAATATAATATAAGCTCTTGAATACTCAACTCAATATTCGAGCTC